CCCTGCACTGGGGCCTTCGTGGAGCTCCCTATGGGGCCACGAAAGCGTGTGAGGGGTGTGCCGAAATGGGTGCTGGGGAGGCACGCGGACCCTGCCACTGGGGCCTTCGGTGGAGCTCCCTATGGGGCCACGAAACGTGTGAGGGGTGTGCCGAAATGGGTGGTGGGGAGGCATGCGGACCCTGCGACTGGGGCCTTCGGTGGAGCTCCCTATAGGGCCACGAAGCGTGTGAGGGGTGTGCCGAAATCGGTGGTGATGATGATGATGATGATGATGATGATGATGCCGATGATGGGAGGAGGAGAAGAGGAACGCGGGGCGCCGTCTCTTCAAAACGAGGACCCAACACCACAGGATGGTTGGGAACAAAGGGTCTCGAAACACTGATCTGCTAAAGAAGCTTACGCGCGAGCTCCCGCGAAATCTTAAAGAAACCATAAGTTTTTCAAGATTCTCACAACATGCTACGAAACGGGCTTCGCGCGCGCGTGTCGAAATCTGTCGAACGCCCTTGCGCGTGTACCGTCGCGAGAACCCTCTGAAAGCGGGACAAAGTGCAGACGCGCGCGTCGTCGCGCGCGTATGCCGAAATCCTTCAAAACCCATCGGTTTCGGAAGAATTGCAAAATCGCGTGTCCAAAAAACCTACAAAAACACAAGGTATCGCCACACGGATTTTCAACAAAAGCGTGCGCGCGCGCTCTTGCGTCGTCGTCGTCGCCGTCCTCCCTGCTCCCGCGTCGTCGTCGTCGTCGCCTACGTCGTCCTCTGTCTTTACTCGTGTTCGTCGTCGTTGTCCTCTTTGGCGTCGTGGTCGTTTCCGTCGTCGTTGTCGCCGTGGTCGTCCTTCCTCCTCCTCCCTTGTCGTCGTCGTCGTCCGTCGTCGGCGTCTCGTCGTGGTCCCTCCTATTTCGTCGCCGCCGTCGTCGTCGTCGTCGTTGTCGTCGTTCTCGTCTTCCCTCCTCCCTCGTCGTTGTCGTCGTCGGCGTCGCCGTCCTTCCTCCTTCTTCATCGTTCGCGTCGTCGCCGTCCTCCCTCCTCCATCGTCGTTGTCGTCGTTGTCGTCGTTGTCGCCGTCGTCGTCCTCCCTCCTCCCTCGTCGTCGTCTTCGCTGGCGACGTCGTCGTCGTCTTCATCGTCGTCGTCGGCGTCGGCGTCGTCGTCATCTTCGTCGTCGTCGACGTCGTCGCCGTCGTCGTCGTCGTCGAAGTCGTCGGAGACGTCGTCGGTGTCGTCGTAGTCGTTGTCGTCGGCGTCGTCGCAGTTGGTCTGAAGAGGTTTTGCAAACCAAGTTGTGGGTGCGTGCAAGAGCGTGGTATGTGTCAAATCATGGGTGAAAATCAGTTGCACCACATAGGTTGCATCACGTCGCCACACATGTTGCTGGAAACCACGGTTCCGGGTCCACGCTGGCTGCCAAGGGTGTACTTTACGGGCCCGAGGCCTGCCAATTACCCACGTGGAGGGCCGCGGGTCATTTCCGCGCCGCGGGCCATCTTTTGCAGGCCCCCTCGGCCCGAGAACAGCCCCCAAAATGGAAGGCATGACACAACACCAACCGTTGTGTTATCTCGCTGCGCCTGAAGTTTGGGCATGCTCCCGCAGGATCCCCTCGGCGCCCCACCACCGACCTTGTCCAGAGCGGATCTGGAGAACCCTGGAAGCCCAAGGACAGCCAATGACGTTCAAATGCTTGATGATCATTCCTACTCACAATCTAATCCTGACGCGTGGAATAAGACCAGGCAATGCCCTGGTAATATCAAGGGTAAATCTAATCCTGACGCGTGGAATAAGATAGCCAAGGTCCTCCATCCGAAAGCGAAGGGAGTTACCCCGATATCTGACACGCTGAGCGTGCTATGAGCATGCCGCGGGAGCCTAGGTCCTCCACCTCCTCTTCTCCTCCGCCTCCTCCTCTTCCTCCTTGTCGCCCTCCTCCCTCTCGCCCGCCCGTTCCCCCCTCGGAGCGGCGGAGCCGGCGCAGGAGGCGCGGGGGGGACGGGGCAAGAAAGCAGAGCCTCATCGAGCTCCTTCTCCTTCTGAGCGGCTCTCTCTTCGACCTCGCGGCGGAGGCATGAGGACCAACATAAACCCATGTTGCATCGCCTTCCACGTCCCATGAATTGAAGTGCCTGCAAGAAGTCCCCTTCACTGCGAGAAGCCTCCGCCTCCTTGGAAGATGCAGCTCAAGCGCGAGTCCTGTTCTGAAGCGCAATACCATCAGCCTGTCCAGTTATTAGAAGTGTCTCTGGGCGGGAGCACGGCATGAGGAACTGTGCAGTGAGTCCGTATTGAGCCTGGCCGCCATATATCCTAATAGCTGTTGCAACATGTGCGCGTTCGCCGTCTGCGTTTTTTTTTTCAGAGGGGTGGACACTTTGAAAAAGGAATCGCCCTCTACCAGTGCAACCGTTGCACGCTGTTGAACGTGCTGTCATATACATAATGCGAAGAAGTCCCTTTCAACAACTCCTCTTTTACTCCAGAAGAAGGGGGCCAGGGACACACGCTCACACACACATCAAAACAAACAAATGCACATATCCTAGGATTGTCCACCTGCCTCATCTGTTCTGGACGTTCGTCTTCTCCTCCATTCGGCGGCGAGCGAGGGGGAGGGAAGTGAGAAGGAGTCGGCCTTCTCAGAAGGCGGCGGGACTGCTAAGAAGCCATCGCGCCTTTTGAGAGGTTCCCTGTGTCTTCGGGAAAGGTTCAGAACACTTCTCAAAGTCCAGGGGAGTTCCCAGCTTTCTGAGAAGTCCCGCCCCTTCTCATTTCCTCGCCTCGCTCACCGCCCATCCACTTCCCAGATGCTTACAATGTGCATGAGAATCGACGACTAGTTGTGTCTGTCTGTGTGCTTCTGGCCATCCTGATAGAAGGATGTGCACTGCGAGGCGAATGGGAAGGAGCAGGAGGAGCGGCAGGTATTGGGGGAGCGGCGGGGAGAAGCGGCGGGGACGCTAGACGACGATGACGAAGCGGTGGGCTCGGCAGCTGCAGTGGCCACCGCGGCGGTCGCACATGCTGCTCCAGCAATACTCGGAGCAGCAGCTGTGGACACCACGGCACTCCAGGCAGCAACGGCGGCTGCGGAAGAGCAAGCTCCGAGCGCGACGGCCAAGAGAGGCGAGGCCAAGCGCAGGGCCCCCCAGGAGGCACCAAAAGAGGGAAACGAGAGAAGGGCAGTCTCGCCACCAGGCGCAGCCGCGTGGCACAGGCCGCACCACTGGCCACCGTCTGCGACGCGGGGGAGGCGGAGGAGGAGGAGGAGGAGGAGGAGGAGGAGGAGATGGGAGACCCCGTTCCCCTGAGGAGAGGAGAGGAGGAGGAGAGGAGGAAGGGATGAGGGAGGAGAGGGGGGAGGATGGAGGGAGGGAGGGAGGGAGGAGTGATGGAGGGAGGGAGGGAGGGGGAGGGAGGGAGGAGGGGGTGAGGGGCGGGGGAGGAGAGGAGGGAGGAGGAGGATGCAGGGGCGGGGAGGAGGAGGAGGGGAGGAGGATGCGAGGAGGATGAGGGGGGGAGAGGGGAGGAGGAGGAGGGAGGGAGAGGAGGAGGAGGGAGGGAGGAGGGAGGGAGGGAGGAGCAGGAGGAGGAGGAGGAGGGAGAGCCCCCTTCCCCTGAGAACGAGCACCCGCGGCCTTCTTGAAGTAGGCGGCGCACTTCTCGGCCATGAAATCCTTCGGGCCAGCGGCCGGTACCCCACGTCAGCCCGCTTTGATGCGGGCCGGCGTCGTTGCGTGACACGTTCGACTTCGGCATACTGCGATGTCCGTGCGCAACTCGAGCTGTAGGATAGCTACAGTGATGTTACGCACACCTAATCGATCCAGAATGATCAGACGCGTTCGTCTGACGCATCTAGAGGTCTGAACTCGGTCTGCTACTCGAGCTAGGTCCGCGAAACTATTCGTACTCTAATATTTTTCTTCGAGATGATGATGAGTTTCTTGACTTAACTCGAGCCTCAGATGAGCTGAAGGGCTCTTCGGCACAGCAATCGGAAGGCATCAGTCGTTCGAGCCACCAACCCCATCTCCTGGCCAACAATCCGAAACACAAGCGCGCACGGCTTCCCAAGCAGGTTGCGCACTCTCGTAACACATGTGCTCCTTGTCTGGGCATGGTGCCAAGCTCTCACCAACGGCATGGACGGTAAACGGTTGCACTGGGCCCGAACACATGCGATTTCGACTCGGCGACAGGAGGGAGCAGGGAGGGAACACAGAGAGGCGGTCCAGGAGGATATACAAGATGGGGGCGGGAGAAGATGAAGCGAAGAACGAGAAGTCAAGAGAAAACGGGAGAGGGGAAAGGGGCGGAGGATGATGAGGAGGAGGTGCTTTCGTGGAGGTGGTGGATGGGAGAGAGGACAAGAACAAGGAGGGACGAGGGAGGTGTAGTGGAGGTGGAAGAGGAAGGGAAGAGGAGGAGGCCGGGATGGAAGGAGGAGACGGTATAAGCAAAGGCGGGAGGAGGATAGGGCAAATAGCGGGGGACGAGAAGGAGGAAGAGGAGGAGAGAGGGGATCAGGGAGCGGGATGGGTGGAAATATGTTAGGGGAACGAAAAGTGGCATAAACATATAAGCTCGGAGTTCCGCGCGGACCTCCGAGTTTTTATGTTTATGCCACTTGTTATTCCCCTATATGCCCTCTTGGAGGCCGCGGGGTCGCGCCCACCCTCTCGTGCCAGCACGCCCCGCATGCCGGAGATAGAAAAGCCCCCCCCCCCCCGCAGAGATCGGGGCCCGTCCCGACGCGCGGGCACCAAGGACGCGTGGCGGCGGCCGTGCCGCTGCCAGGGCTGGGCTTCCGCTTGGGAAGAACTGCGCACTGTGGAACATAACGTACAAACACACGCGCACACACACAGTGGACAGAACACATACATACACAAACAAAGCGCACACACTGTGCACAAAACGCACATACACACACCGTGGACAAAATACATACACACACTCTGGACAAAACGCACACACACGCACACGCACACTGTGGACAAAACACATACACACGCAAAACAAAAACGGTGGAACAAACACCCACACTGCGTTTTTTCTCCACAAGACACGCACACGGTGTGCGTGTTTGTTGTTTCCAGTAACCGTCCTCGATCTCATCGCCACCCGTAAGATTGGCAAGCCCAGGTGCGATGACAATCTCAGAGAGGCGCACTCAGATGCTGAGGGAACCCTCCAGATCGGCATCGAGATCCGGCGATGCCACTCACAGCGGTAGGGCCATGCTCCAGGCTGGAAGGCCTCGCCTCGTCTGGTCGTCCTGGGCCGCCTCGGGAGCGCCTGCGGCCAACTTCAGAGCAGAGGCGCAGGCACGCCGGTCTCATGGCCGCCTCGTTGGGGGGAGGTCCCTCCGCAGGAGTCGAGGCCAGCGTTTCGCGAGGGGTCGGAGCGTCCAAGGTGGCCCAAGATGGCTCCAAGACGACTCAGGATGTCTCAGGATGGCTTTTTTAACATGCCTCCTCCTCCTCCTCCTCCTCCTCCTCCTCCTCCTCCTCCTCCTCCTCCTCCTCCCTCCTTCCCTCCCCTCCCTATCCCCCCTCATTTTTTTCAACGGCACAGGATGGCGCAGGATGCCCCGAGGCTGTCACGAAAGGGCTCCGAGCGGGCACGGAGCCCCCCAAACGTTCGATAGACCCCAAAAATCCCGCGTTCCTGAGCGCGCAGAATGTGTGCTTCGACACGTTCCGTTCGAGTGCTCGCCACTTTGCTTCCGATTGGCTTGTGAGGGAGCACAAGACGTCGCCCAAAGTGCCCCACGAGGGCCCCCCGAGGGGCCCCCGAAGCGCCAGGGTGGCCCACAAAATGCCATCAAGAGCGCGCCCAAGAGGCCTCCAAGAGGCGAGTCTGCGGGCTCCGAGGCGGGGTGGTCATTCGGGAGCCCCGCTCTCATACGAGCAAAGTCAGTGGAACACTGGGGCATCGTTGGGAGGCCTTTTGGGCCACAACAGGTCTCCAATGTGGCCCTACATGCTCGGTGATGGTCTCCAAGATGGAAAGAGGAGGAGGCGGAGAAAGAGGAGGAGGAGGAGGAGGCGAAGGAGGAGGAGGAGGAGGAGGAGGGAGGAGGAGGAGGGAGGAGGAGGAGGGAGGAGGAGGATCGACCAGTTTGGGTCAAAGTAGCTTCCGACGTCCGACTTACCTGCAAGAGGCAAAAAGACGGCCTCAAGGCGGCTGCAAGCTGCATCGGGGCCTCAAAAAATGCCCCCCCCCCCCCCCCCCCCCCAGAGAGACCAACTTCATTCAAACACACATGTTGCTCTCAAGTATGTGTGTGCCTTCTCGCACTTTCGCTTCCGATTGAACTCTGAGGTCCCAGGATGGCCGCAAGATCGCCTACGAGAGCCCCTAGATGGGCCAAGAAGGGGATCAAAGACGGCCGCATGAGATCCCAAAAGCGTCCCAAGGGGCGGCGTGTGTATCCGTGTCGGGGTGACTTTTCCTCTCTTGATTGTGCTAACCTTGAATGGTCTTCACACCCCCCAATAAGGGGTAACTAATATTTTTGTCGGCGGCCTGATTGATGAAGGACTGAGGACCCACCAATACGGGTAACTGTGTCGTCCTCCTCTTCCTCGTCCTTCCCTCCTCTTCCTCCTCCGCGGGTCCCTCCTCCTCCTCCTTCCCTCCTCCTCGCCGTCCTCGTTCTCGTCCTCGTCCTCGTCCTTTTCCTCCTCCTCCTCCTCCTCCTCCTTAGGGATGACACGAGGAGGAGAAGGAGGAGGAGGAAGAAGAGGAGGAGAAGGACGGAAGAGGAAGAGGAGGAAGAGGAGGATAAGCAGGAGAGGGGTAAAAAGGAGGAAGGAGGAGAAGGACTGGGTGTTAGAACCAGTCCTGTTCACCGCCGAAAGAACAGGGTGGGGGACCAAAAACTAAAGACGTTAAGATGCTATGCTTGTGCTATTTCTCATGCCTCTGGAGCCCGGGGAGGCCCCCGCCCGCCGCGCCCATGCCCCGCGGCCCGCTGGGCGGCGGGCCGCCGCGACCGACGCCCCCGTGCAGCTCTTAACAGGCACCACGAGGCCCGTGGGGGCCTAGGAGGGTCGAACAGAGTCGTGTGGTTCCCGTCGTACTTCAAGCCCACGTCCCAGACATGATGTCGATCACCCGGACAAGGGTCGAAACAGTGTCGGAACAGAACAGTGTCGGACGAGTGCCTCCCAGGGCCCGACACGTGAAAACCCTCGAGTTTCTGTACTTGTTTGGTGCTGGAAATTCTTTCTCTGGATCAAGGCTAAAGTAGGTTGGAACATCATACAACAAAATCAAGGATAAGGGGGTCTTTTCTGCAGATGTAGCAAGCCGAAACGCCCAGACGTATTATCCCTAATGCGGAGACGGGGACCTCTGGGCACAGCACAGAGCCGCAGCCAGAGGTGAGTGGATGTTTCTCCAGGGCTCCTCCCCAGACATGCTCGCATCGCAAAAACATATCAGGACGAAGGTTTTTCCCCCTTCCGGCCTGTGGAGGCCCTCGCCGGGCCTCGGGACCGTGAAACAACGACGCAGGGTGAAAAACCTGCCGTGGGGAAAGGGTCGGGACTTCCGGGGACGCCGTACTGTAAAAATCAAGCCGTCGCATGTCGGGGTCGGGAGGGAGATCCCGCCAGCCTCGACATGAACACCGAGGTGGTTGTGGTCGATGTGGCCATCATGGACGCAGTCATCCACCACCACCAATTCTGAGCTGGTTTCGGTGCTCTGGAGATGGCCGGCATGCGCGTGACATCCCCGCGAGCGTGTCCTCGACTCGATGCGGTTGTGGTCGCTTGCTATCCCCGCAGTAGATCTGGCGCGTGGGCGCCAGATCCACGGATCGGAGAGATTAAACCCCTGAACGAAAAGCTGATGCCGCCTGATTTGGTCACGGAGGTCGCCGATTTGGCACGGACGCGGGGCCCGTCGCTAATCCATGCGGCTTGCTCCCTGTTTGCGCTTCGTCGATCCTCCCCCCTCCCCCCCTCCCTCCCTCCCCCCCACCTCACCCCCGTGCTTCCCCGCTCTCCTCCCCCCGGCCCTCGCAGTCAGCGCAAGCACGGCAGGGCGCTGGAGAGGAACCGTGGCCAGAAGCGAGGCCGTCCTTGATCTCGGTGAACTTCGCGTCGTAGGTGTCGAAGCTCGTGTCCTCGGCCTCCGAGGAGGGGGCACGGGAGCGCGGAACGGCCCCCAAACATCCGATGCCTCGACTCTTGACCCTTCCCGTACGCCACGAGAACGGCGCACCCGTGCGTCATATCATGCCTGGGCTCCCGTCAGGCCCCGCTCCACCGCGGTGCGGTGCCGTGTGGCTGTTCGGGCTCTTACTGGGATCGCCGCGGGGGTCACTGGGTGGATATTGGGGTTACAAGTGGATGCTAAGGTGGGTTGTATCCGGCCCAACCTGGCATATAAGTGGGTCACAAATTCCTCGGGGGGGTAGATGACTCCGCTAAGTGGGCGGAGCCCACTTAGCCCGGATCGTTAACCCCCCTCAGCTCTTTGGGGCACTTGTAGCCCACTTGTAGGCCAGGGTGGGCCAGATAGAACCCACCTTAGCATCCACTTGCAACCCCAATCTATCCACTCAGCAACCCCCCGCGGTGCTCCCAGCATATGGCTGGAGAGCGATGCACCGGCCCGTTCCTGGGTCGAGGATCGACGACGCCTCGAGAAACACCAGCGCGGCACGGTGCACACGCGTCGTCCGCAGAGGTCGGGAGCGGCCAAGAGGGGGGTGTCCAAGAGGGGGGGTGCAAATCATGACCGGCGGCATGTGCGCGACCCAGCGGGGGGGCCAGGGACGTAATGAAATAAGAGGAGGCGCCATGATATCTGGGGAAATGTCATAGCCCCCGCCATGATATCCACTCCTCCCCCGAGTCATCACCCCCCTCTTTGCCGCCCCCGCAGAAGCGGGGGGTCCCCGGAAGTCCCGACCATCACGGCCAAATGTCGGACTTTCTCGTCACGAGCGTCCTTCGTGGACGGCCCCCCCCCCCGAGGCCGAGCACGGGAAGCAGAACCGTACGCTGCCCGAATGTTTGCCAGGGGCGTGCAAACGTGGATCCCAGACCCCCTCGAGCAATGAAAATGAAGGGGTCCTGGGACACACAAAGAAATACACACAAATAACAGGATCCTCCATATTTTCAAATATTTTCTTTGTTTTTTTCTTCCCCCACACTTCCCATATTTTCCAAAATTTTCCAGGGACTCGACGATTAATTGTGTCTGTGTGTTTTTCTCTTCCTGAGAAAAGACATGACGGGAGGTTTTTTTCGCCGTTTTCGGCCTCTGGGGGACCTCACCGGACCTCGGGACCGCCAAAAAAGGACTCGGGATGCAAAAAGCCGGTCCGGGGGAAGTGGTGCAGACTTCTGGGGGTCGACGTCATGAAAAAATCATGACGCCGGGGGTCTGGGATTAGCGATCCGTGTATTTTGCGCGCGGTCGCCAAAGCCATGGATCGGGGTACGTGCCCTCCCCAAAATGCCCCAAAATGCGGCCGGTGCCGCTTCCCTCGGCGGCGGAGCTCCGCGATTTCCCATGGAAGCGGGGCCCGACTCGAATCCACGCCCCCCTGGATCCATGTTTGCGATCGCCTGATCTTGGAGCGACGCGAGCACGACCAGAGCAGGCCCGCGCGGACCGAGGCCCCCGAGAAGCGGCCCGGGAGAGGTCCAGGCGGCCAGCCGCTCTTTTTGAGCAGGGACCGCCAGTCCCGGCATCCCTGTAGGCCTACCCCGACATGCTCCTAGAACAAAAGGATGTTCTTACAGCATGAAGCCGATACGCTGGGGGCATTGGAAAAGGAATCATTGGACAAGGAATCGAGGGTCTGGAAGCTGGCGCAATTCCAGTCGAGCATCGGCCATGGATACCACCCCCGCCCTCATCAGATAAGGAATCCTCCAGGCTCTACAGCCCACCTGGGCACATTCCTTCACGAACGCCCCCAGAGCATTGAACCGAGGCGGTCTCGGCCAGAAAGTTCTTAGAACATTCTTCGGTGGGCCTGTGTATGGCCGATGCCAGAAAACTCTGCACCCACAACATGTTCTCATCTCTCGGGAATTCGACTGTTGCTTCCGCCGAGCTTCCGGCGGCGGAGCCGCCGCCGTTTCACTTCCGCCGCCTTCCGCGACCTTCCGCCGCGGAAGAGATGGCAGCTTCTTCGCTCCTCGAGGGCAAGGCCTCTCTTGGAACGCCCAACATACAGGTCAGGGCGCATCGCCACTTCGGAAGCGGCCAAAAGGGGGGTGTCCAAGAGGGGGGGTGCAAATCATGACCGGCGGCATGTGCGCGACCCAGCGGGGGGGGCCAGGGACGTAATGAAATCAGAAGAGGCGCCAGCAAAGCTGGGGAAATATAATGGCCCCCGCCATGATGTCCCCCCCCCCCTAGCCATCACCCCCCTCTTTGCCGCCCCCGACCACTGCTGGACTCCCCCAGGAGCCCGGGCCCGACGCGCGGCCCGCCGTAAGGGCCCCGGCATCGGTGCGCGCCGGATGGGAAGGCACCTGCGCCGGCAGGCCCGGGCGGGCCGGCAGGCCCCTCGGCGGAGGAGGCACCTAGAGGAGGACACTGGCCAGACGGCCGACTCGAGGGGCTCAAGGGTGGGGAGGGGCGGGCACCTGCGGTGGGGAGGGTGGGGAGGGGCTCAAGGGAGGGGAGGGGAGGGCCGAGGCCCCTCAGCGGAGGAGGCGCCTGCGGAAGACGGAGGAGGACGCCGGCCAGACGACCGGCTCGAGGGGCTTTAGGGGGGGGGGAGGGGCTGGCATCCGCGGGGGCACGTCGAGCCGGAATCTCCGATGCATCGCCGATGGATCGGCGATAGGCCCCGGATCGTCAATGCGAAGGTTCCTGGGCAGGTCGGGGCGATCGGCCCCCCATCGGCGATCAATGAGCGATTGAGGGTCGATGTCTCCCCCCTATGCCTATGCTCCCCTATCGTTGCCACTGAACTATGACCAGGACGAGCTGACCATCAGTTCTGCGGCAGGCCTGTCCACCTGGTGGCTGCTGGGCTCATCAGCCCCAGCAAGCCTTGGACCCCAGGGTGAGCATGCTATGCTGGCCTCGGCGCCTGATGGGCCCGATGGTGCCCTCGGCAGTATGGCTGGCTGGGCCTCTGATTCCCGATGACTGTTTTTTCCGGACGGGGCTCGACAGCTCCCCCCGTGGAGGGTGGGACGCTCGAGGAAAACACATGTTATGACTACCTACCAGACCACCCCAACCCAACCCGAAGACCCGAATTTCGATGTTTTTTCGATGTTTCCCGACCCCCCCCCCACTGGAAATCGAGGGTAAATCTGAGCCTTCGGGTTGGGTTGGGGTGGTTTGGTGGGTGGTGATGTTGTGCTTGCCTCCACCGTTGATCAGCTACTTTGCCTCCCTTCGTCCCGCGAGGCGACATCGGCCGCTCTCGAGGGCTCGGGCCTCTGGCCCAGCGCCCCGCCCTCGGGCGGGCCGGGGGCCCGGTGAGAGCAGTGCGGCGGCAGCGGCGGCGGCAGCATCTGCTGCTGCGGCCGCGGCGGCAGCGGCGGCGGCGGCGTCGGCGGCGGCGTCGGCGGCGGCAGCAGCGGCAACGGCGGCGGCAACGGCGGCGGCGGCGGCGGCAGCGGCAGCGGCGGCGGCGGCAGCGGCGGCGGCAGCGGCAGCGGCGGCGGCGGCGGCGGCAGCGGCGGCGGCGGCAGCGGCAGCGGCAGCGGCGTCGGCACGAGCAGCAGCATCTGCGGAGGCAGCAGCACGAACGGCACGGTGCGCATGGCGATCCGCCGCTCTCCAGAGCTTGGGCCCCGGGGGGTCGAGGCACGCAGGAAGAGCCTCGAGGGCGCGAGGTCCGTCCGAGAGGTGGGGGACGAGGGCCCCTCGGAGGAACAACTGCCGATGCCGCTGCTCCCTTTCCAGACACCACGGCTGGATTCGCCTCGTCACCACTCGTCTCCTGTCCCTCCTCCTCCCCCTCGAACTCTCCTCCATTGCTCCCTGCTCGCTGTCTCCCCTCTGTCCCTTACCGCCTGTCCGCCCGCCTGGTTCGTCCCACCTGCCCTGGCCTCCCGCTTGCGCATTCGCCGTTGTCTGCTTGCTTATCGTTCCCTTGCTCTCTCTCCGTCGCCGACCAGTACAGCGCGCCCGAAGCCAGTGATGCAGGCGTGATGTGCTGTCTGACCCTCGAATGGTGGTCAGACCGTCCCGCAGGAAAAATTCGTGGTGTTGTGGTACGGGTATGTTTTTTTTTTGCGATTCCAGCTCCAAGCCCCCCTCCTCTTCCCCGGAAGTATCCGGAGCCCCCCCTGTATTTCCCAACGTTGCTATATGGGGTTTTAGTTTTCTCGCCCACCCGCGTCGCACCCGCTTTCATCCCCTCCTCATTGTCTGTCTTCTTCCTCTCACCCGCAAAACCCCGCTAGACATGCGCGAACATACATACACACAGACAAAGAAACACACCCAAACTAACCACTGCACAGACATGTAAGAAGCTGCACGCAGACATGCACATAGACGCATACACACGTGCACACCGCACACCGCAGACACACACACACACACACACACACACATACACACCCACACACATACACACAAACCACACACGCACAAAAGCACCCACACACACACACACACACGCACACACACACATATAAGCATAAACAGACACAGGCGGAGGCACAAACACACACACACACACACCACAAGAGGTGCGCACGGGGGTACGGTCTCTCAGGCAGCCAAAGCGTCGCAACAATGGCACGTCCTTGACACGAGATGGGGTGCGCAAGAGGTGCGGTCTATATCCGTGTCGTGCCCCCAGGGCGTGGCAAGCGTGGCCTCGCCACCACAGCGGGTGCGCAAAGGGTGCCGCCTCTATCCGTGTCAGAGAGGTGCCCCAAGACGGCCCAAGATGGCACCAAAACGGCCCCACAGGACCCCAAGGCGGCACAAGCGAGTCAAGACAGCCCCAACACGCCCCTGTGTACAGTCAAAATCTGCAGCAAGGACGTGCTGTGAGGATGTCAGACCCTTGGGCGGTCCTTGGGCGCCCCAGGTGAAGCTTGTCTAGCGGTGCACTGCCGAACAGAACTAAGGACGCAAGGGTGCCCTTGGGAAGGATACCCGTCCTTCAAAATAATTCAAAAATAATCCAAAAAAAATCTGGGGACTATTGTTTGAATACTGTTTGTCCTTTTGGGTGTATGTTTGAGATATTTTCTTATTTTTCGCCGGAAATCCCCCTGTAGGGGGACACGCCCGACATAACCTTACTATGGATTTTCATTGTAGGCCCTGTGATTGCCCCTGGGAACGGAGACGAGAAGCGTGACACGTCACGGCCTTCTGGGCGGCGCTCGAAGCGTCGCCACGCAGCGTGCTGCGCTGGCACGGGGACTGAGCATGCCGCGGGCAGCCGGATCACCTGCTGAAGTTCGCACATGCTTATAAATATTCAGCTTGGCGAGCCTGTGGTGAGGAGGCCTCGCTCGTCCCGGTCGGCCCAAGCTCAAGGGGTCATGGCACCGCCACGGTGGGACTCTCTCTGGTTGTCCTCACAACGGCTGGGCTCTTCGTGGTCACAAGCGGTCGGCCGGAAGACGACAAGCCCCATGACGGAGGAGCTCGCAGTGCTGGAGCCCGCGCAGGTTGCACCCGAAGCGGTGCAATGATCGCGGACACGCTCGTGCGAACGCTCTCGCCGATTGGCCCGGGAAGTGAGATGTCGAACGCACGGCCAATCTGCTGCCTTGACGACGTGGACCGATCCTCACACTGCGTGGGCCAAACAATACTCGACTGAAAGATCTCCGCCCTGGAGGTTCACGGTCGGCCGCTATCTGTTGTCCCCGGGGCCCGAAACGGATTTCCTGAGGGTGTTCCACCTTGAGCGCCGACACCAGGATCGCTGCCGCGCTGAGGCATCGCGAACCCCAGACCCCCAACATCATGATGGATTCGTGACTCGACCAGCTCATCGGGACCCGCTTTTCACCAGCTCATCGGGGCCTTGGGGCCAAGCGAGGCCCCCAGAGGCAGACAATCCCATCAGCCCTTCAGGGCGTAAGTGGTTTAGCGAGCTTCCTGCTCCAACCCTCCATTTCCCAACCTTGGGGGAAGGGTTTGATCAATGTGTCCTCTTCGTAAACGCACACATACACGCGACAGGCAGCCAACCTGGACCAGTGACACCCTTTTCCAACCATCCTTGTCAACAAAGCAATACAAACGACACTGTGTGGTCATGCTCGTGGGCCCCACTAGCAATTTGTATTGTTGTCTGGAATCAAGGGCGGACGGAGGCCGCACATGGCCTGCTGCACGCAAGCTGACCACCCCAGTTAAATAAGTACTTTGCCGGTAGGACCTCGTATGAGAAACCCCCCAACGAATCTGGAAGTGACCGTCCTCGTAAATGCACAAACTTTCTTCCTGTCTCCTCATCGCCCTCTTTGATCGCCTTGGCGGAGGCCCTCTTCCCGCACCCCTCTCTGCCTCCTCCTCGTCCTCCTGCCTCCTCCCCCATCCACCTCCTCCCCCGCCTCTCTAGCACAGGCGCGCGAGTTGATTTTCCTTAGCGCCGTCGCCGCCACGGCCGGCAGGGACGCTTTTTCCGATGGCCCGATCGCGAAGCCATTGGGGCAACCCCGCGGGCCAGGCCGTTTGGATAATCCAGCGGACGCAGGAGCAGGCGGGACAACCCCGCGGGTTTCGAGCGGGGCGCCGCCGCGCTCTGGCTGGCGGCAGCGCGAAGACAAGCTCTGCCGCGAGCTGCCCCGCCTCAGCCCTGGAGCCCTCCGCTCTCTTGTCGAGCTCCCCGAGCGCCTGCCTCGGAGGTGCCAGAGGCCCGCGCCCCAGAAATCCGCGCGAGTGCAAACCGCGGGATCAGCACGCCCCGCTCGCACGTGGACCGCTGCTCGTTCGACATGCCCATGCGGCCAGCGTCCGCGCCCCTGGCGCCGTCAAAGCTGACGCGCTTGCGCACCGTTTAACCCTGCAACGACGTGGAGGTGAGGTACGACGCGTGCGTCAGGGTGATCGCCATCCATTCACAGGCGAAATTCCTGCTCGAGACGTCCTCCAAACTCAAGCCGGAAGAAATCCCGCGCGACGACGGCTACTGGATCTGGATAACACCGCGCGGACTGCAACAGTGAGGTGGTGACCCCATTAGTAGGGAGCTCCCGAAAGAGATTTCCTCGCGATTCATTCAAAAACAAACCGTTCAAGACTTCCACCACTTCCACGCGGGCCTAAAAGCGACGACAGTTACAATTTTGAGAACGACCCCCTGTGATAAGAAACGTGACGTGCGGGCCCCACAGGTAGGGGGCTCCCGCCTGAGACGGCGCAAGATGAGAAGGGCGCCCCAGGGGGCTCGGAGAAGCCATAGAAGGCGTGGGGAAAACAAACGTTACCGACACAATCACCGCTGCTCCGCGGACCTCTCTCGGGGTGCGCTCTGACTACAATTTCGAAGCGAATGACGCTCTGGCGACGAGGGCGCCCCCGGAGGCCCAACACGGCGAAAACGAGGGAGGGGTAGCGGCTCCCACCTCTGAGGAAGCGCAGATCCGCCGCCCAACACTGCAGACCCCAACCGAGCCTGCGCGTCCTCGAGCCACAGCTGCCACCGGTCCACCTCCGGCGCCGCCGCGGCCAAGAGGTCCTCCGCGACCGGGGTTCGTCATCGTCGTCGCTGCCACCGCGGCCGCCGTGGACCCCTCCTCTTCCCTCCTTTTCCCTCCTCCTCCCTCCTCCGCCTTCCTCCTCCGCCTCCCCCTCCTCCACCCCTCCCCTCCTCCATTCCGTTTCCTATCAATTACTCTCTGTCGCGCCCCGAGGCTGGTCGAAAGGACTGGCATGGCGTATGGCTTGCGATTTCCTCACTTTTTTACGACGATGAAGCTTACACTTGGCAAAAGCTTCACGGAGGGAGGACAGGTCGTTTTCAAAATGTGGTTTTCGCCTGAAGGCCAAAACCTCGTCTTAAGAATGTGCAAAACGTCACGGATGGAGGGCGCGGGTGTTCGAAAGGCGGCTCTCGCCTTAGCGCCGCGGGCACTCGTCCTAGGACATGTGTGAGAGAGCTTCACGGATCGAGGGCGGCACGTTTTCAAAATGCGGCTGTCGCCTGAGCGCCGCGCGCATTCGTTTTGAACATTCGCAAGAGCTTCACGAGTGGAGGGCGG